CCACCGAATTGCTTCTTCTGGAATCTTCGATTGAAATGATCACTATGGATCTAAGAAGCTTCACTGTTTTTTTCAGCATCGGTTCATCATCTGGTTTCAGACTGCAATATTGTGAGTGGACAGAATAAGAGGAAATGCCAGTTACCCGTCGAAAGACAGAATCAGCTCTTTCATCACATCATTCCCTTTGGCAGCCTCAAAGTCCTCCACGATTTTAACTGAGACAAACGTGAACAAGGGAAAGGACACAAAGGAGGACAATACCTGAGAATAATGTGGATGTCTTGGCATAACCTATAATCACCTCCATTGTCTTCATGGCATCGGCGAGACTTAAAGTTTCCGGGTACAGTTTGCGGACACGGTTCACATATCGTCCTACACTTCCGTAAGCCTGGACAAAACATATGTTACGCAAGAGCCTCTGAGTCTTGAGGAAACACCTGCAGGTACTTGGCAATCGCTTCCCAGCAAACATCGCTGTACAGCAGCACACGGATGATATTCAGTGCGTTCTCTCGAAGTCTGCAAAATCTTGAGTCTTGTCCAGGGACTGTGGCCATGTCGAAAAGAAGAGAGATTGTCTCCTTGCCACTGCTCACATTCGAAATCTTATCTGCAACTTCCGGCAAGCTGATCAGCCTCTCCACAATATCCCAAACTTGCGGGTAGTCGAGAGTAGCGCAATCAGGACACACAGGATCTAGCGACTGCTCAGAGTCCTCTTCCTTCTCCGGCATTTGTCCTGCTCCTTGCAGTCTGTCGCTCAGCACCTGCACGATGGATTCGATGAGCTCCATCTCGATGAAGGTGTTCACGTCCCTTGCGTTCCAGTTCAATCGCAGTAGACATTCCAGCAGCTTGCACAAGGGAATCCTCAATCTGGCCTCGTCAGTGTCAGCAGATTCGTCATTAGTTGCTCCTTGATCTGTCTGCAGCTGCCATTCAAGTCTCTCTAGCTCCTGCTTGACTCGGGCAGATACTTCGAGGACGAAACCACAGTTCTCCCCGAGCACGTTGTCGATCGAGACGTTTCCCTCCAATCCCAGCGAGTCATACCACGAATCAAACGAGATAATAACCAGATTGAACAGGTGGGGATCTCTTTGCTCTCCCGCACCTGCTCTATATCTATTCCAGCACACTCGAAATTCATTGAGGGTGGAAGAGTCTCGGTATGAGAAGGACCCTTGGTCGCTACTCTCCTTCGACCCGGACGCGGACTTGCCTCTGCCATCTCCACCCGACACGGAGTCAGTGATAATCCCACGGATTGCAGAGGTCCCTTCCTTCAGCAGCTCCACGCCCTTGCCGAGTTTTCCTTTCAATCCTTTGAGCGCATTCATAGTTTAGTCGCTGTCACACAGACCAACTCCACGTCATCCTCGGTCAAGCATGCCGCCGACAAGACGCGTTTAATCCTGACGCTGCATGCATGCTCTTCTCCTGTGCTCACGATCTCCTCCCTCCTCTTCCCCTCCCTCGTTGGGTTTGTGAGGAAGCGCTAACATTGGCGGCAGAAGTGGAGGAGCAGCGTCCTATAGCAAACGAGTCTGCCTCAGTATGATTCAACCCCGGGGCAGAAGACAGAACAGCCGCATCCGCCTCAGTTTCAAAGTTTGTGCCGCACCACATTCAGTGACTGATGACAGGAGGCTGCCTAGTAGACTGTCACCTGGGCCCGATATCACCGTGCACGGCATGGTGCCACTAGGCTGAGGCCCGGTTGCGGGTCCGATCATGATGGCCCAGTGGCATGCTTTTTTCTTGTCGCTGTACAGATCAGTGTCTGACGAGAACCAGGTCCACTCCGAGTCCGTCCCGGCGCCCGGCCGCACCGTGGCACTGCAGCCTGTGATTAGTGTTCTCGTCACTGACGTACGGTGCCGTGAGTTTTAACTTAACCTTGAGTAAATGCAAAGCCCCCGGCCCGCGGGGGCCCGGGCACTGTTGGCTCAGAATCGCCGCCGCCGCGCCGGGTGCCAGGGGCCCGGGCCGGGTGCCACCCCGGGTGGTCACGTCATGATTCAGCGCGGCAGTGGGCAGCTGAGATCCCATAGGGCAGCGTTACTACTGTTTGAGCTCTGCCCCAACTCAGTTATCCGAGTTATCCACCCTTCAGGAAACTGAGGGGTAGTATAGGGTCATGAGAAGGGTGGTGCCGGGGGTACAGTAAGGTTTTAAAAAGTTTGTTGTGGCTGCGGTTGGAAATGGCGACGAGGGTGATGGCGAATGTCTGCCCCGTGCGCGATTGAACCGCAATAATGCACTGAGATCAAGTTCACATGCCTGTCTGACGGGATACACAAAGACTGCCCGTACGGTCATCTTCAACCAATCCATCTGTGACAACAAATTAGGAATCAGGTTCAGCTGAGTTTTGTTTGGACATGAGATCAGAAACAATGGATGGAAACGACGATGACGAAGAATCATCAGTGTATGATACTTGGGCAGATAGGCGAAAGGATACAAAAGACAGAGCTGAGAAAGCGATGCAAATGCTTGCCAATCCTCCGGATGAAAACATAGAATGCTCGTCTGAGTCATGGAATCGTCTAGGTCTGAATTCGTCTTCTCATGAGATCAAGAGAATGTTTAGCGTCATGAAGCATGTGGGACCAGACATCGATTCCGGTTGGGATCTCAAGACTGTTCCTGAGAAGGAATCCGAAGATCCGATGTCAAGATTGAAACATAAGAGCTTTTTAGCTCAGAATGAGAATACCTTCATTGCTTTCAAATGGGTCTTGCAAGCGTTGCTGAAAAAGCAAGTCAAGGTGAATGGTGGATGTGATGTCCGGACCGCCGACGTCTTGTTCTTCGAGGGTGGGGAGCCGAAGAAATGGATATATACCAAAAACAGCACAGGAAGGATAACATCAAAGACATTTGATTCCTCAAGAGAAGAAAGTTGGACAAAATTTTTGAGGAGATGCACTCGCCTTTCAGGCAACCAAGCAGAATCGAACAGGCCGATATGTATAGAGTACAAATCTACCGTGGAAGGAGTGAGCGGGAGGTACATGACAGCTCAAGACTTCCATGAAATGAAGCGAGCAGATTCAGTTAACAAGTTCCACATGGTTGCAATCCAAGCTGTAGTTGGATCAAGGTCAGGCACAGCTGGTAAACCCTCATCTCAAGTCATTGTGTACAAGACTGAGTTCCAAAAACGGCCGAACAATCTTCCATGCACGCTGAAGCACACCAAAGAATACGACATCAGCGCTTCTGTCTGGGACACACACATGAGCAACAGCTTTCCGCATACAGAGACGTACAAGCGTGTGACAAGAGATCACGATCAATTTCATTCACACATCAAAGACGATAACAAGATTCAGAATACCCAAGAAATCAAGTCACAGTCTTTGAATAGATCGAAATTGAGTGAGACAACGATCAGGGTAGTCAAGTACATTGAGAAAGGAATGAAAGTGTCGGTTGATCGTTTCCGGGCACACTTCATTGAAGACTTTCACGGTAGGATTTGGTTTACTGGCGCATCCAATGTGACGTTGCATGATTCGATGGCTGATTTCTTTGCTGATGAAGAGAGCCCGTCAGAAAACGATTTACAAACCAAGTTGACATCACGAATAGACGAAATCATAAAAAGAGAACAATCTCATGGCAGAGCATGTTTAGATGCAATTCAGAAAGATCCTTCGCAAAGAACTCAAGAGGAAAAGCAAGTCATCTTCTCTGAAATAAGGGGAATCAACTTTCTCTCGCAATTTTCGGTCGCATCGCAGTATGAGGTACGTCTACAAGAATACGTTTGTCAAGAACTGACGGATTTCTTTGTGAATTTCTTTGCAAACAGATCAGCAAGACGGCCTTGTACAAATATGTTGAGAGTGGAGTTGAAGTTTTCTATAGCGATGAGATTGTCGATGAGATGTACGTCATTATCACGGGGACTGTCAGAGCAATGCTTGAACCATCCAGCATTTTCTACTGCAGGACTGTTGACTTGACAGACAAGCATACGATTGCGGAAAATGCCATAACAAGACCTGGATCTGTAATCAACATTCAAGCTCTAGCTTTGGAGGACACGCATTTGATTGTTTTGAAAAGACAAGCGATCGAAAGCGTTTTGAACAAGAACACTATTCACAAAGAGCTGAGGTATTTGATTGCGTTGAGAACTTACAATGATCGACTGACCATTTGATTGTTAGATGGACGATGAAACGAGCACAGCTCGAAAAATGCCGGAAACTATTCAGCATAGCTGCTGCCAAAAGAAGTATACTTGACCTGAAGGCAGCAGCTAGTGCCTTGGTGAATCTACTCTTTTTCCAGAACATCCCCTTTCATCTGCAGATTGAGCTTTGTAGGAATGCTATGTACAGATGTTATGACATACAAGGTGAGAATGTATTCAAAAAGAAGGAAGCCGGCACAGACAACAACCAGTTTTATGTCATTCTGACTGGAAGGGTGAAATGGGTGTATCACAGTGGAAACGGTGAAATAACGAATGTTTTGAGTCAAGGAGAGTACTTTTTCACGATTGGAGAGGCTGCGGTGATAGGAAATCAGAAACTAGAAGTCATCGTAATTTCTCAAAAGGATTGGGAGACGTGTGTGAATGGGAACGCATCTTCCGAAGCATCTCCGAGAATACAGGGGATCCCAGATCGAATTGGGGGCAACAGAACAACATTTTTGACAGAAGTGGAGTTTGAGGAAGAAGCCGCATCTCAGTATCAATCTCCAAGTGCAGGGCAAGATTATTCCAAGACAAAGACAGATGTTGTTGAGAGAGAAAAGTTTAACATCGCGACAAACATTGCAAGACAGAAGGAAAGGCACATCACATGCTCTGTCACGGGTGTGAAGTTTCCTGCATCGAAGAAGCGAGTTCTTCGCCGAAGACAAATACAAGAAGCAGCCCTGCATCTCAAGTCCAGGAACGTTCAAGTGCCAGGATTCGACAAGGAAAAGACTTTGCAGAAGTCTTCCTCAATCAAGAACAGACTTTTTCCTGACAACCTGATAGTTTCGCCTCAAGTTTATGACATCTATCTTTTCGAGAGAAACTTGATAGATCAAGAGAAGATCTTTGTCAGATCTATATCAGACTCTTCCATCCCTGCTATGAGCGAACGCAAATTGCCTCCGGGGGGCATCAACATCTTGACAACGCACCTCTACTTGAGCGGGATGTTCATAGAACTTGTACAGATAGATTCATGTTCGTCTCTCTCATTCTTTGGCAAGAAGTTTGAAATCAGATTCAAACTTCTCGATGAAGACGTCAGCACGTCCTTTGATCTGAGCGAAGAATCAGATGGTTTGCACGAAAACGCGAGGAGGCTTGACGAAGTCAGGATGTCGTGGTTCTTTGCAGCAGACGAAGGCGTCAATGAGTACCTCGCGAAGAGGTCCAAGCTTGTGTTCGATTTCTACTGTGATGACGAATGTGTAGCCTTTGCAACTTGCTCTCTGAAAGACCTTGCATCTCGAGCCGTCTTGCATCAAAATTTTCAAATTCATGTGGAGCCCTTGCACAAGAACCTGGCTTCAACTCTAGCGTTGCAGTTCGTCGTGCTGCATGTCAACGTGGGGTGTGTCAAGTTCCGGGAAGTGGAGGTGAAGGACTTTCACTTGAGAAGAAGGAATGGACTCTTCTTCCCATCTTCTCCTTACATAACGCAAAAGCTCCCTCCTGAAGGTTGGGACCCTTGCAATGAGGAATACTTCTACTCTTTGATGCATCGCAAGGAGGACTTTGAAGATGAAGCCTTTCTGTGTCCCAATGGAGTGCTAATGTCGCGCACGGGCCCTCGTGACAACCGGATGTTGCTGACGTCAGCTTCTCGCATCCCAAGGAAGAATCCCTCGAGGCAGATCAAGTCAGCTGAACCTTGGAGGCGTCATCCCCTCCCTACAACTCGCCCTTGGAGTGCTCCGCTTCGCATACCTAGAAACAATGCGACAAGAACGCCACCAAGTTTGAAGTCACATGATGGAAAAGCTTCTAGAAAAAAGCATCTCGAGCGATCCAGTGAAGTTCGGGACCATGCACCGAAGCCGAGGCGTCCGGTCAGTTCGATGGAGATGAGAAGCAGATCAGACGACTATGCGCATGAGCGTGAAGACGCGAGGAGAGGGCGGCCCAAATCCTCGATCGGCTTCTCACGGGCAGAGCAGCCCGGGAAACATGCCAAGAGCTCGCGAATGTCGATGATTAGAGAGTTACAGTCGGAGATGGACGCCATCGATCGTGACCTTGGCTCCACCGTCCATCGCCCTCACAGTGCGTTTTCAACCCTTCCGCCTAGGAAGCCGCACGATGAGATCGACTCTTCGTCGGCCTTGACTCTGCTCACAAGACCCAAGAGCGCTCTCGAGGCTGTTGGCTCGAGAAGTCTCCGGGACTTCGACAAGGACACGCTCTTGACAGCTCTCAACAAGACCTCCAAGCTCTCCCAGATAGCAACCCGCAAGAACAAGGCGTCTGAAGACCTGTTCTCTGCCATTGAAGCTGCCCATGACATGTGGAGGAACACACTGACCAAACTGGACTATCTGGATGAGGACTTGGAGCATCTTGATGTACGCACCAAAATCGTTTCAACCAACGACTAGATCAACGTATCTCTATTCTTTCTTACATAAACGGTTTTCCACAGACATGCTCAGTTGTACGGATTACAGGGTCCCTTCAAGGGGTTGATCTAGGAGCTTGTCACAGCACAACCCAAACAAGGAGAGAATAGCTCGACCTGCTTCACTTCGCACTCAGACCCCGCCATCGACGTCCCATTGCCTGTAGCCCCCTGCGACCACCGACCGACCTGCTGGTACTCCGGAGTGCTGGCAACCAGTCAGCATTCAACCGCATGCTGCAGGAGCTCTCACGTCTCACGGTAGTCGTTGAGACTGTCGTCCATATCGGACGACGTCGGAAAGAACACAGAGCTGAGGAGAGCGAACTGACCCTCAAGTGAGCGCGAGCCACTACTCCCTCTTCCAGAGTCCCCTTCCTCCCCTCTCATGCCCTCTCCTCCTGCTCCATCCTCCTCCTCTTCGCTCTCCACTCCCCTCACCTCACCATTTCGTCGGCTGCCGGTCGCCCGGATATAGATTGAGCAGTGAGCACTCAAAAATTCCGAAGCCTTCATTATTGTGTCCCGTAGAGGGAACATTCTTGTGTTCTTCTGATAGAACAAATCCGGGTGCTGCATGTCCGTGATGGAGCGCTTGCGGCAGGCATGGCAGGGGCTCGTGGGGAAGAAGTTTTCAGACAAGGCTCTGCAGAAGGAGATGGATCTACTCGAGAACCTGATCTACCTCACCCACAGGAAGATGCCCGTCGGATCTCCTCCCGACGATGCCATCGCCCATGCAGAGCAGATCAGTCCAGAGGAAAGGCAGTTGAAAGTAACGGAGCTGGTGCACGAGCAGGTCAAGAGCATCATGATTGCACTACACATGGAAAACGATCCACAATATGTGGGCAGCGCATCAAGAGTAGATCATAGCTTCGATGTGCGGGAGTCCAGCATGGCGGGTGCTGGGATGGGCGTGTTCCTCCGAGGGAATGTGCGAGCAGGATCCGTAAGAGCATTGCGAGCTCGATCAGAGAAACTGACACGTTTTCATTCACAAACAAGGTCATCATGTTCTATCCTGGACATGTGTACCTGCCTCATGTGATCTCTCGAAGATCCGACTTCCCCCAGGTGCCATGCAGCTTGCTCTTTGTCGCAGAGGAATGAGAGTTTGTCAATGAAGCTCAACGATCCCGAGTTTCGTTTGGCCATTACAGGAGACTCTCTCATCGACCCATACAACATCGTGCATGAGTGCCATGCTGCTGCATCTTCTGCAAGTTGGCGAGTTTTGTAACTGTGGAGAATCTGTTCCACAAATGACTTTGTTGGTTTCAGCCAAGAGCTCCAACAAGTAGATGCCGCGTTGATCGTGAAGAACAGGCTTGCTCTTGGTCATATGGTCAATCATGCGGGAGGATCGGGAAAGTCTCCCAATGTTGTCTCATGTGCCTATCAATTCCCATCGCAAGTACCGGCCGAATTGAGATACTTGATCCCCAATTCTCTTGTTCTACCGATCAACGAAAGGAAAGAAGGTGTCCTGACCAAAATGCTCTTTACTCTGTCGAACGAAGCATATCAATCGTATCAGCACTCAAAACTCATGCAAGAAAGTGAAATAATTCCTACCCAAGTGTGTTCTGCATTATTGTGACCCGCCAATGATTGTTGCACAGGTTTTGATATCGAAATCTGATATTCCCGATGGGTCGGAGATCTTATTGGATTATCGTTTGAATCCTAAGAAGAAGAAATATTGGCCAAGGTGATTGTTTGCATGCACTTTGTTTGCATGCAATTTTCTTCTCCTTCTGTTCCTGCCACACTGATATGACTTGCAATCAGTTGGTACACTCCGGTGGATGTAGATGCAGCAAAGAGGCGCTGGGCTTATTTCTAGGGATGTATGAATACTCTTGTTGACGTAGTACGCATTACGAACACGCTTCAAGCAACAAACTTGTCACGGCCTTCAATCGTCATCGATGCTTTCGGATTCTTTCGGTCGCTTCGTTCTCGACTTCAAGTCTTCGATCTCCTTGGGCGTGAGGTCTCGCATGCGCCCCCCACCCCTCTCAAGCTCCTCCTCTGTTGGTGGCTGGTTCCAAGGATATTGAGGATTAATCTCAGGGTCGAAGTCTTCATCCTTGTACATCGTCCACATTTGTGTCGAGTTTTGTACATCCTCGATGTAGACAGGTTCGGCATAACCGTACTTGCACCCTCTCCTCCTGCAATACTCGTTGGCAGCTTTTGTCCGCAATTCTTTGTATTCCTTTTCTCGTTCCTTGCAGATTGCGATGTGAGCGAGAAGCATCGAGCAATTCTCAATTTACCTCTCTCCATTTCTTGAACTCCCAGAAGTCAACGTCCGACCAGTTGTTCCAGTCACGACTTCTTTCATAGAAATCCTCCATGTCTTGAAAGCTCCAATCCTGGAGCTCGTAGAACGGCTCCTGCCACGCCACAGCACATGAGCAATGATACGTTCCTTTACAACGTTCACCTTGAGCCACTCTGCTTCGGCACGTGTCGGCATCAGATATTTGGGCCACGTTCCATTCGGAGCAAAGTGTCGCTCAGCAAGCACGCCGAATGCATAAGCAACATGCTCTTCGAAAACAGACCGGACCTCAACACTTTCAGCCCCAAACTTCTTGCAAAGCTTCAGGTACTTCCTTGCGAAGGTTTGATTGTCATACTGCAAAGTTATCATGCAGTGTACACAACAAGTCGACTCCACCTGATCCATGGTGAAATTGGGATCTAACTTTAGAGAAGAAGGAAAATTTTCGTAGTCATGATCAAGACCTTGGTCCAAGCAGTCCCCTAAGCGAAGACAGTCATCATTCTCATCGCAAGATGGAATTTCTCCATTTGTCCATGGATACTGCTCCTTCAAGGCCAAATGTTGACCCCTCCCGAAAACCTACGCAAAAAATGATCAGGCTTTCTCTTCTACGAATAGTAGCCAAAGGCTCAACCTCAGCCATCTCCCAAGGCACGGTCAAGTTGAACCCATCAAGGGACGAGTCTGATGGCAAGGGCAACTCTGTTGGTAGGAACTCTCCCATCTGACCCAGCGAGAGAGTCGTCTCAGGCCCAATGCGGGACTTCGCATCGAAAGAAGTATGGATGAATGGCAGATTATCCTTGAAAATCGTTCGACGAACATCCAGGTTGTGGAGCAAGTCGCAGGCATCTTCATCGTAGACCTCCTCCTCCTCCTCCTCCCCATCCTCCTCCTGTTCTGTGATGTTGGTGTACATGATGGTGCTAAAGGCCCCACCCGCATTCGGACACTGATTCCCAAAGAAGGAGCAGTTGTACACCCAGGTTACCTCGGTGCTCTGAAGGAACATCGCTCCTCCTCCTCGCAACAGACCCCATGCCGTGTTGTTCAAGAAAGTGCATCCTGTGATGTTGCACCTTGAGCTATTGAACATGGCGAAGGCGCCCCCCGAGTCCCTCGCCACGTTCCCCTGGAACAGGCAGTCCAGGAAGGTAAGCTGCGCTGGAGTGGGGTTGGAGTGAGTGGTATTCACTGACACTGCCCCTCCGCACAGGCAGCTCTCCCCCCCATTCTTCTTGAAGGTGCAGTTGCTGACTCTACATCGAGATCTTTTGGCCAGGTGAAGGCAAGAGCCCACCATGTAGTCGTGGAGCTCGCTCAGCGGCTCTGAGTCTCGGGTGAGGTTGAGTTGCTTGTGACGCATCAGGTTCTTGGAGAAGATGCACCTCTCGAGGAGGATGCGGGAGGAGTCGGTGACTTTCAACGTGCTCCCAAAACAAGATCTGAAGATGCAACATGCCGCCTTGACTGTCGCGTGCCTGTTCAACAGCATGGCCGATCTGGCGTTCTTGAAGAGCAGGCCGGAGACCCGGAGTTCACTCCCTGGCGCCCCTGTTACATTCCAGATGAAGGAAGCATTCTCTCCATCAAGAAGCACATGCTCTTTGCTTTTCTCAAGGAAGTTGGACGATATGATGGAAAGCTTTTGATTTCTCCCCAACACCATGTTGAGCTTCTTGTTTCGCTTCGTTGCATAGATTCCTGGCTTGACGATCACTGTCGAATCCTGCAGGAATCACCCCATCAGGTGAATTCAACGCCAAAGATCCCTCCTCTCCTTACCCTCCTCTTCACAACCTGCTGCAGGGCACGGAAAATGGACTGAAAGGGATGCTGCTCGTCTCCTGTGCCCTGCCATGCGTCATGGTCAAACAAGCATCTGGCGAGAATCATGTTACCGAGACATCATTCCCAGACTCTGCGTCCACGTGGACTCGAAATGAAGATAGAATATCGGTGGAAGGGTGATATGGTTGATGCAGGTCTCCCTGCTCCTCGGAGTTCTCCTCCATGTACTCCGGTAGGTAACCACCCCGCAGTGAAAGTCTGCTGGGTCTGCCGGAGGGTTCGGACCTTCGCAAGAGCAATGCGATCTTCGCTCGTGTGTCTGCATGGACAAACTTCAGCTTCTTGCTCATCAGCTCGTCCATGTCCATCGGCTGCTCCTGCATGCATGGCGACACCAGCAGCAGCGCCAGCAGCATGGGACCATGCCACGATCCCATCACATCCACCAGACGTAAACCTCATCCCCACACTGACCAATGAAGAAACCCTCATACAGCCCGCCCAACAACAAAGTTGACAAAAACTTTGATCCCTCCTTCCCCTGCCGGACCACCGGCAACCCGGGCACCCCCGCCATGGCGTTGCGTGCACGCGGAAGCAGGGGAGGCGGGGAAGATGGGAAGGAGGAGGCACCTGTGGACAGTCTCCACCCCCTCTTCCGTCTGGAAGGTACTCCTCTCCTCTGCTACTTCTTCCTACCTCCTACCCCCTACCTCCTACCTCCTACCTCTTCCATTTTTGCTTCTCAGCTTTGTTGGGAGCCTGCCTGCGGAGAGCCGGCAGATCGGCTGCTCAAACACCTTTCAGGGGGCGGCGTTCTCGTTCCCAATGCACTACAAAAGCAGGACGAGGACGACAGGTAGTTGCATGCATCGCTCGGCAACCTGTATGCGCGCATGACCAGTGGAACGAAGGTTGGAGTTCGAGGAAGCCTCGTGCAATCCGGGGTACAACGGAGACTCATCCTACCTCGACACCTATTCCGTCAGGTTCTTGTTGTTGCTCCATGATGATTTCTAGATGATTGCATTGCACAGGAGCAATCGCGATGTGATGTATGCAAAGTCGCTGGGGAAAAAGTACAGTTCGTTGCCTGAATCGCCGTCGAGCGTGATCTTAGATATCTCCCTTATCTTCGTCCTCTTCTTTTTATTTCTGGCGCTCGTGTATCACTTGATCTACGACATCTTCGGCACAAACCTTCATTCTTTGTTAACGGGGGGCATCTCGAGGACCTTCTTTGTCAGTGTCTGTTTGGGGATCATCTTACGTACGGTATACACAAGTTGTTTCCCTCCCTCCATGCTCTGACGGCCTTCTGATCAGCTCAAGAACTTGTACTTGCTCATCCGGACAGTGGAGAGTTCGTCTGACGCATCGGTCATACAATGGTACAGACATCTCTTGACTCTTACGTTGTTCGGAGCATACTTCCTGGCCTTCTTCAACGGGAAGGATATTTCCAAGCACGTGATGCAGCTCTGGTCTAGTTTCGATGTAGCTTCTTTTCACAGCCATTTCAACAACAACAACAACAACAACGCAATCAAGATCACATACAACCAGCACGATTGGGAGAGAGAGCGTGAAGCGCTGATGCAGGTCGCTGAACCTGCAGCGGCTCTTCTTTCTGACACCGTTGCTCCTAAGGTTGCCGAAGATTGTGCAATCCGAGAGAAAGCGCTGATGCAGCAGGCGAGCGAAAGGAAAAGAATGCCTCATCGGCTCATGCAGGAATCGACCCGAGGGCATGAGACTGCGCAGTGGAGTAGTGTCGGCTCAACTCCCGGCAGGGAGCAAGGAGGACCTTCGAGTGCTGCAAAAGAATTGGCAGCGAAAATTGCAAACGAGCAGGTTGACTGCGACAAGACATGAAGACGTCTTGAGCGCAGGACGCTGACATGCATCGCCAGGCGTTAGCAAGCATGGTGAATGAGCCGCTAGACATCTTTGACGACGACGATAGCACCAGGATCAAGCGACTGGCGATCAAGAATGCATTTCTGCATGCGTGGGAGGCCTATGAGATGTAACTTGTTTCAGGAACTCTAATCAGTAATGCCATGGCAGGCACGCTTTTGGAAAGGATGAAGTGCATCCGCTTTCTCAGCAAGGGCATGACATCATGGTGAAACGAGAGAGAGGCGGCAGTTGTAGCTGAGGTCGAGCAGGGACTTGGCGTGACAATCATCGACGCGCTTGATACAATGCTGGTCATGGGGTTGGCAAGCTCGCCGGTTTACAAGAGGGCGAGAAGTTGGGTACAGAGTGGTTTTGATCCGAAACCGAACAAAGATATCTCCGTCTTTGAGGTCAGCGGTTTCTGCCTAGAGAACCATCCTGACGTCTTTTCAGGCAACCATCCGCGTTCTGGGAGGGCTGCTTTCTGCTTTCGGGCTGACAGGAGATCGCATGTACGCTGAGAAGGTACCGCGTGCTCTGCGTTGACGAAGATCACGAGCTGCCAGGCGACTGAGCTGGGCGACGTTCTGCTCACGGCGATGCAAACTCCGACGGGACTTCCTGCTTCTGTTATCAATCCCAAGCTCGGCTCCTCCAAGCAAAGCTTCATCAACCCCTATAACGGCAATCAGTGCAAGTTCGGCGATCCCACCACTCTGGCCGAGGCGGGCAGTGTGCAGATGGTTCCCTTTCACTTGCTGTAGATTGGCACATGATACGAGCTCCCCAGGAGTTGCAGTACCTGTCGCATATCACAGGAGACCCCAAGTACGCGGCAGCTGCTGATCGTTCGATCGCGAAGCTTCTCAGCCTCGCAGTGAAGAGCAAGGACAAGGTTACCAGCTCGACTACCTCGGCTTTCGTGTTGACCTGTGCTGCTGGCAGCCGGAGAATCCGCTCTTTCCTGTCGACGTGCACCCGAGGGAAGGGAGGTTTGTAACCGACAGAATCTCCATGGGCTCAGGAGGAGACAGGTGAGAGGAAGAGAGTGGAACTGTTCCATTCGTTTTTAGTCGTTTTGCAGTTTCTATGAATGTATCTTGAAGCAAGCAATTCTCCGTCCGCTCTCGGCCGGGCATCTTCGTTCAATCTTTCAGAATGTCACCGTAAGTGCAATCGAGAAGGTTGGAGCAGAGGTGGATGGTCTCTCGGTGATTTTTCTTCATTGCAACTGATGTGCGAAATCCTCACGGACCTTCAGTTTCTCGGACAATGCTCCGTTACATCCCCCGAAACGATGAAGCGGATGGAGGTGAACGAGACATCAGCATCATTGTTTTGCCGTGACGTGATTATGAAGCACCTTGCTTGTTTTGCTCCTGCGATGCTGGTGCTCGCGTACAACGAAGACAGGTGATCTTTGCGCATCATGACAACCTCTCCCCAACTCCCTCGCTTCTCAACGTCTTGTTTCAGATCGCAAACTGCATACCTGGTCGAGGCCGAGAATCTTATGCGCGTTAGTCTCTTCTCATCTGCTGCGCCACAGTGCCTCACTTCTTGGCAGACTTGCATGAGCATGTACCAAGTGACGCAGACAGGTCTGGCAGCCGAGCAGTACGACATCAAGGTAGGATTCAATGAGAAGATTGCACAATTGAAGATGTGTGGGAGGGGGCGGGACAAGAAAGAAAGGATGGGATAGGGAGCCGCAGTGATACCTTACTTCAGGTGAAGCCAACCAAGCTGACACCCACTGTTCGCCAAAAGTATTCCTTGCTCCGACCTGAAGCTGTTGAAAGCGCCTTCTTCCTATGGAGGGTAACGAGGAAGGTCCGTATCCTCCCTCGCTCCCCTTCCCTCCATCCCCTCACGGATCGTGAGCATCTCTGACTGTCTGCTCACTCGCAGAGGATCTACCGCGACTTCGGCTGGCAGTTCTTCATGTCTCTAGAGAAGTATTGTAGGAGGAGCTTCCAAGGAGGAGGCTACACGGCGATCCTCGATGTAGACCATGCAGCCTCAGCTGGCAGCGCGAGCGATGCCAACCGGATGGATCGACTTGACTCCTTCTTCTTCTCCGAAACCCTCAAATACTTGTAAGTGCTTCCCCTCTCCACGTGCCAGCGCTCAGTTGAGCTCGCAGGTATCTCCTCTTTACGCCGCATTCCGTCCTTCCCTTAAGTCAGTTCGTGTTCAACACCGAGGCCCATCCGTTTCCTATCATCGAAAGGCCGCCGTTTTGACCGTCACTCTTTTCCCCATCTCAATGCATTGCATTTTTTTCGAATGTTCATGTATCAAAAGTTTTGCAACAAAGGAGCTCCATTCAAATGATTCTTCTCTCACTTCAAGTTGATATCTCTACACACGATGCCTAAGAGCTTGCGCCAAGCATCATTGTTACATACTCATATACTACAAACGTGATGGCTGCGGTGGGAACGACTCTGGAGAAATTTACGAAGTCAGGCGGCATGCATCAGCGAGCAAGATAAGACCTGAGAAGGTTCGAGCCAAGTCCCTTGTAGAAACCCTGTAGACCCTCTCCATGAAAGATCTTGCTCACTGTGTCTACAGGGCCCCTGTAGTACCGGCGGTTTCTCTCCAGCTGAAAGTTGACCGCTACCTCCTCGGTGTTCTGCTGGGCGAGTCAAGGAGGAAGACATTCCATGCACCTTCACCTGATTCATCTGCTTCAGCCGCTCCGCCACCACTGTGGGGTCAAGCTGCTGCATCCTCGATCGGATGACTTGGAACGGATAAGTCAACACCGATGAAAACATCTTGGCAGTGGAGCCTGACAACATGTCAACTACAAACCTGCTGAGGGACATTGAAATCATCTTGTACCGACTAGGAACGTTTGCCATGCGTAGAGCCTGTCCTCCGTCGGCCCGTAGGGCAGCACGAGCTTCTTGATCTCTTCGTAAACGGCGAAGTGGATGGAAACGTGAGACACGAGGAGCAGGGAAGGCAGGAGCCCCCTCCAGAGGGCAAACAGCTGCAGCAACCGAGTCATTACTTGGATCTTGAGGAGGATGGCCTTATTACCCCTTCATGCTGGACGACGCTGGTCATTACATGATGCATGCCATTGTACTGGAACCCTGAGCCGTGCTGCAGCTGCAACCTGACTTTTGCCAGCCATATCGGTTGAGTGATGGCGGCAGTAACAACCCCTGCTGCTGTGGCACATGCCAGGTTCACCCCGGGGCCCAAGTGACTCATCCCTGTGACAAGGTCAGAAGCCAAGCTCGTCGTCGCTCTGCGGACTCGCGAAGACTCACCCACAGCATCTTTCGGCCTAGGGAGGTGGCTGCTCGCAAACTCTCGCAGGCGCTTGTAGCCGTAGAAGTAGCAGCCCCAGGAGACTGTGGATCCCACCAGGTTCGGTCCCAGCCCAGCATACAAGCTTGCAGGCCCCTCAGTCTTGACGATGGTCACGATTGCATGAGCAGTTGACCGATAAACAGGGATGTGCGAGAGTTTACCGTCCTGGACCTGAAACCGGGTGTTGACTACGTCCAAAGGGTGCATCACAACAGCACTGACGAAGCCTCCCGACAGCCCAGCTACTGCATTCTTCCAGTAGCTCTGCTCTTGTGCAGGATTTCCAACCTGCTGGTGATCTGACTTGTTAGCTATCCCTGGATCAGTCCCTTGTCTCATTTGAGCCACCATGCTGATTCTGTCTTCCTTAGAATGTAGATACCAAGGAAATCAGCAGAATCTTGTCAGTTCCTAGAGCTATCGCATGGTACTGCATCGTTTCTCAACCTTGACATTGGGATTCGACCGTTCAGCGAGCATTTCTCTCAACTTATCCTGTCCACCTTCGAAAGTCAGAGAATTCAACAGGAGGCTTGCTTCTGGATATTGTCACACAGCTCATTATCCTGTCACCAGCATTATCTCCTCGTCATCGTCTCATCTCCTTCTCGTCTGCCCATCGTCATCGTCCCTCGTCTGACATGGTCATCGCTCGAGCAAGCATGATAATCAGCATCCGACCCCCCGCGGCCGCAAATTCCACCCTACCTCGTGAACCTTTTTGACCACCCTACCCACTTCAACACCCTACTCTCTTGTTGAACTACCCACCCATGTATGTCCCCTGGATCTCAAAGGAATATAGAGACCCCACCCAATGTAGCCTTGTACTACCCACCCCTACTTTCATCACCCTTCTCCTGCATCCTTTCCCCCACCCCTTCCTATTCCTTCTACCCCACCCCATCAAAGTCTGATCCTTTGACCGAATGGATGACCTCTTCCCCGCGCTTACCCTGACTTGGAAGCCGTTGGTGGCTACCAGGGGTGGCTACCGCCAGGCAATGCAGCTCAGGCTGGCAATGCGGGGCGGGGGAGAGGGAGGAGGGGAGAGGAGAGGAGCTCGACAAGAACGAGGAGGAAGAAGGGAAGAAAAAAACAGGGCAGGGAAGGCAGGAGACCGTTCCTTGTAAGGCGAGCACAATCAAATACTATCATAGCCTTGGCTCCAATCGCCCTGCCTAGTTTACCAGTCGCCGAGGCTGGTAGACGAAACTTTGCGAGCACAAGCAACATTGTGCACGATCTAAGGACAAAGGAACATTGTGCACGATCTAAGGACAAAGGAACATTGTGCACGATCTAAGGACAAAGGAACATTGTGCACGATCTAAGGACAAAGGATGATTGTGTACGATCCGAGCGAGATATTCTCAACATTATGGTGGATGGAGGGGTCAGTGATACCAGGCATCCTCTTCCTTGCGGCGATCAGTGGAATGAACGGCATCGTTGCAGTAAGAACTATCCTGTGGTCGATTCCGTCTGGAAGTTTAAATGTGAGAGCAGGTGTATTTCAAAGAAAACTACAACTATTACATAACTAGCACAACACATTCACTGATGGCGTCGACACTCGGGTTCTTCTTGATCTTGAAGAACTGTCTCGGTGAGGGCGCCTTTGCTGTCTGTAACCTCAAAGTTTGACATGTGCTTCTCCGAAGCCTTCTTCCACTTCCATAGCGCAAAGAGGTAGGAGCAATGATCACATCGCATCTTTACCGACTGGAACAACTCGCTGACCTCTAATTACACTTGTGCTTGCATAGAACGGTGCATGACTTGCTGGATGCGATGCGGACTCTTGCGATCCATGTGCAAGCCTATGGAGTGGCGAGAAGCGAAGATGAGGTTCTCTTATGAGCTGACTGTTGCTTGCTCTGAGTCTCGTCGAAGGCTCGGGATATTGTCAACACATATACAAATCTATCCAAACATCTCGTTGTCATGTGAGCAAAAGAGTCTGAGGAGACAATGACTGAACTAGCGTCAGGTTTTACAGCCTGACCTTGCATCTCCGGAAACAGAACGTTCTCCCTCCCAAGTCAAGATTACCACTGTGAAGCGGTTGGCGAAGTCTGAGAAGCGTCTGACTCTGGTCAGGTACTTGTACCCATGGGAACTCTCGAAGTGGAATGAAGCGACGGTCCGACCGCTCGCATGCCTTGTGATGATCAACAACGACATCTCCAAACTGCGCAACAAAGGGATTTACTCCGATCAAGTGATGAATCTGCCTGACGTTGGCTCGACGTTGATCGCAAGATGCAGGTGGCGTGCATGATGTCCAAGGAGGTCAAGAGGATGACACAGATCTTCGGCGAGATGGAAAAGTTGAAAGACAGTCCGACCATTCCCTTTGCATACTATCAGTTCTGCAAGTAATCTTGTAGGCGTCATTTCAGCTCGCCTGATTTCTATTTGCAGCTGGACAACTCTGGCATACTCCTTGACCGTCCCAGCGGCGATTGGAACCTACGACACGTACTACACAGCCACGTCCTTGTTGTCTTTCTTCGTGGCAGCCCTCTTCATAGGGCTCAACTTCATCGGGTGATAGCTTGCTTGACATGTCCTCTCCCATTCACCCCAGCAATTCAGAAATCTCCTGCAAAATCCGTTCGGGCTCGGGCCCAACGACATCCCTCTGGAGCAGTGGGGGCAGTCACTTGAGAACGAGCTCTACCAGCACTTCCCCATCTTCAAGTTCAGGTTTCTTCCTCTCTTCGCATCACCTTCGCTGGGTTCACGCGTGCTCGACTTGGCTGCAGGTTCGGAGCTTTCCCTCTCTTTGTGGAAGATTTCACAGCGTACCCTCCGGAGGATCGACGTGCCCTCTACAAGGACGACTCGTCCATCACCATGTTTCACAAGCCGTCTGCCTGGATTGTGACGAGGAACAAGATACGAGCTGCTATGAGGTTGGGGAATAGGAAGCTGAAGAAGTTCCGAGAGGCCAAACCCACAAGAGAGGCGATAGTTGCAGAGATCATGCGAGATCGGAGGAAGCAAGCCTTTGATGACATGTCGCTGCTTGTGCAGCAGTTCGGTGAGATCCTCTCTTGTTCTGTTCTCACATTCAATCCCTTGAGAAGGTGCGGCGCCAAAGGACAGGGAGGGATCAAACAAAAACGCAACGCAGAAGTACTCGAAGGTTGCAGCAGAAGAATCAGCTTCACACCCAGCCGAAACTTCTGAGATGGACAACAAAGAGGAAAGAGAATCAGAAACGATGCAAGACAAAGCTGACGAAATTCTCAACACGCAGCTAAGAAGTGGATGCTGACTTGTGAGATTACATCCCCATGACTTGCTTGTAGGTCGAGGCAGAAGATCTCGAGCTCCGGCCGAGCTAACACCCAAACCAGCAATAGTGAAACAAGCTTCACTGCTCATCAAGAGGTTCCCTGAGAGCGAAGAGATGTGAGTAGCTCTACTGCCTTGACCGCCACCTGTAACCCTTCTACCCCACAGGCAGCAGATGTACCAACAGATCATCAACCCCAACATCCCCGACGTAGACAAGACAGCGATGCTTGCCCTGATGAATGCAGAGGCAAACGCACTGTCCGATGAGATCGACTTAGACTTGCATTGAATTGAGACATGTAACAATATAGAGACAATGACAAGAAAGCGAAGAATCGCCCTTCATGGTGTCAACCTCACGAATCGTGCTCCTAACAGACCCTCCCCTCCCCATCTCCTCGGCACAATCTTCAACGGAAGCTCTCGCAACTCCCTGCAAAGAGCTCACATCACGAGCGGGTAGACATCAAGAGGCCAAGGAGGGGGGGAGGTTAAGAAGAGCGAGAAACAGACCTCCCCGTGACTCTGTTGACGCGACTGATGAGGAGAGTTAGCTCCTGTCCCTCCATCCGCTCCACAGCATCTCCCACAAGGGATACCCCGAACCTCTTCACTGACGGCAAGGTATCAGAACTTCCACTCGCAGCACGCACAAGGAACCTGAGGAGGCGTCGGCGCTCCCTATGGCGATGATGCGATCACCCACCATCATGCCTCCTTCCTCAGCAGGAGACGAGGGCATGACCTGAGCCAACGGCGTGACTGACCCAACGGCAGCAAGCGACGGCCTCACCTCTTCGACGACAGCAAAGGGCTGGATATCCTCGTCTTCTAGTCTCAACCTTTCCAGAATCTTATTGATGGTCTGGAGATTATTCTGCGCGGTGGCAATCGAGGATTGTCGAAGAGATCGATCGGCCTGCTCTTGCTTCTCCTCCTTGTCGTTTTCTGAAGCCGGGTGCAAGCAGACTTCATTCACGCTCTCCATGCTGAAATCAGAGATCGTCATCACCAGAATCTGCGTTCCTCTTCAAGGTATACCTGACTGTGTCATCAAGAGGTAGATTGCTGTGATGAAACAAGTGTTCAGCACGACAACTGTGTAGATCATCTGTCAGAGGCTCACTTATATCCGTTGCGAATCATGTCTTTTTGAAGTTGATCATTTTCCTGGGCAATTTGAGAATGTGTTCTCCCCTTTGGCGTGGGCCCTGGCGTGATCTCGGAGGCTACATGGAACTCAAGGAAATTCTGCGCGCACGATGAGAAGAGAGCTACGAATCACCGGGAGATCACCAATGAATCCATCTTATGGGGCTTCAAAGAGGAATTTGTCTCTGAATGAATCTTCTCTCTGTCTTCCTGAAATCACCGATCAGATTATCCTTCACAGCAGACAGTGAGGCAACTTTTGTGCTTTCGACATCGTCCTCCTGCGAATGCCCGCTGGATCGAGCGTGAACACCTAGTCTGTACAGGCGATGAGCCTGGCTCCTTAGCTCGCCAACAGATCGCTTGCACAAGTTGTCCACCAAGAGGTTGACCGGCAGATTTGCTAGCGATCTGTCTGCCGGGGCAAACGAGTCTTCCACGCCGAGCTCGAGACGAGAGTCAGCAAGAGAGTCGGAGCGTCTCGCTCGAGTTTGTTCAACAAGAAGTGAATCCTCTGACTTCCCTCCTGCGTCCTCATCCATGGCCTCGGCAAGACTTTTCTCCTTCGCCTGCGTGCCCTCTTGAGGGACTTTAGCAGATTCAGCAAACGACTCGTGCGCTGCAACTTGGAGGATTTCTTGATGCGATTGCTGATCTTCCTCGAGCATCTCGCCTTCCTCCATGTCGGTGTGCACATCTTCATTTTCTTGCTTTTCCATGCCTTCTGTGTCTGTTGCATGTGCGCTAGCCTCCTCCTCAGCGATGGCTCGTACTTGTGCTTGTTCCTGTTCTTGTGCTTCAGCTTCAACCTCTCGCTCAACTCGTGCTGCTTCTTCTGGTCGTGCTTCGGCCTGAGCTGCTATCTGCGCTGCTTCAGCTTGTCCCTCCATGGTTACTTCTTCTCGTTCATCTGCTCCAGCCTCAGCACTTCCTGCCACACACTCTTGCGCTTGCGCTTGCGACTCCATAGCTACTGGTGCTGGTGCATCTCCTTCTGCTGCCTCCTCGAGTGGCTTGTCAGCTTCAATGGCTACTTGCACGGGCACTGCTTGCTCCTCCCTTGATGCTCGTCTTTCTTCTTCTGCCTTTTCTCTTTCTGCCTTCACCATCGATTGTGATCCGGATTCTTTCTCCTCACATCCAGACAATAAACTTTGCTCCTTGCTTCCTGTTGCCTCTTTACCTATCTCTGCAGCATCCCCTTTGCTTGCCTGTCTCTGTCTGTCATCACCACAAGTATCTGTCTCGCTCTTGGTAATCATAGGAGTCGGAGTTATGTGTCCATCAGCTCCAAGTCTTTCACTGTTTTCTTGCTGTGTGTCTTCAAGAGGTCTCAACCCACTTTCATGTAAGACGGCAGATTCTTGAATGTCATGTACAACTTCATCTACTCCACGATCGAGGACGGGGCTCGCAACCCCACAACTTTCGTCATGTAGTTCGAGATCGTTGTTCACAGTCGCCGAGGCATCATTGCATGCTTTTGGCTTCTCCTCTTGGTTTGTTGGTTTCCCCTTTTGCTCAACTTTTTCACCCTCAGCGACATGTTCCCTGTCTTTGTCGACTGGAGAATGTGAACCTCCGCTCGAACGTGTAGTGTCATTCACCATGGAGGCATTTCTGGCCTAAGGAGATAGAGTGAGTGCATGAAACTCAAAATGCGGAAAAGACCTTCTCTTCCATCAACTTCTCCCTTTCAACCGCAACTTCTCGGAAGAAGAAAGGCATCTCGAACTTGTCGAACACCCCAGTGCGCAAGCCCACCTGCACCATGGGTGTTACTTTATATCGTTGCAGATGTTCGAATGCGCTGGACCTCATTGATTCTTGTTTCCCGATCATCACCTTGATTGGCGTCAGCTACAGGATTCCACACAAGATGAATCTTACCTGGCTCCCAGAACATTTCTTCTTCTGCGTCTTCTCCCCCTCGACGAGCAACGAAGTACTTGTAACTGATGGACTGAGCTGCCGGTAGCTCGAGACACGTGCTCCAAACCTGAGAAGACAGCGTCATAAGAGTGATAGCCAGTGAGCTGTCCGACACCTCGGTATGTCCGATCTTTATCTTTTGCAAACGAGTGCTCTTGGCAGGGTCCCATCCTCCCAGCGCCTATCAATGAGAAGGTGACGTCACTCTACTCTTCATCGCAGAAACGCAACCCCATTTGCTCCTCACCTCATCCTCTCCACTAAGGCAGACAACATCCTTTTCATGCAGGCCTCGAGCTTCAACATTGAAGCAGCACAAGCTCTGCAGAGGTGGTTCAGATTCTTGCAAGTGTTCTCATCATCCTGCATTGGAACCTTCTGGGGAACTTCCGGATGGGAAGGAACCAGGAACGAAGAATCCTGTGAGCAAAATGACATAAGATACATTTCTGACTGCATTTGATGATCACCATGTCCTGTACAGGCTCATGGTGGACGTAGTGACAGTTGAGATGGTCTAGAATCTACCAGAAATCAGATTTGTTTGCAGCGCTCAGATGCAATCTACATGTCTATCTATCATCATGTTGTCCCGCCTGCCTTCAACCCAATTGACTTCTGAGATACATATCCGTCACTATTGCATATCACACAAGCAAAGCACAGGGCACCGGCAGACTGCGTCAAGATTTTCCTATTTTCTAAGATCCCCTCCCATCTCGGCTGTTTCAGGTGGACGTACTTGTAGCGCAACTAAAAATAGAATGAAAACAACGAAAGAGGGAGGAGCATGATACAAAATCGTTGCCATCAAGACAAAAAGCTCCAGTCCACGTGTTCCGATCAGTCTTGGACACGTTGAGCTCGAGCGCCTTGGCAGTATCCCACCTGAAGCAGTGATCATGTGCTGGTCCTGAAGACTATGCGCTCTCACTTCCCCAAAATATCGGTGGAGCCAACCACTCCAATCGGTGACTGCACGTCAGCGAAACTCTTAACCTGTTCATCTATAGATCACATGATGTGGAATTTTCACCTTGATACAATTTCACCTCGAACATGATCTTTCGCTCCTTGGACGATTTCGCGTCCACTGGTTTATGGAGTTGGACAGTTGGAGGCTTTCTATTCCACGATAGTGTTGTGCTAATCATAGTCATCAGGGACATTAGGATATGTCTACGAATTTACCGGTTGAAGACATCTTTCACTGCAGTAATGGAATTGCGCTGGATGCAACCTTTGCGATGAATCTGCTCATCTTCTATTCTTGGTGAATGATGTATAAGATATTTGTACGCCATCTACACTTGCATGTGAGCGCACAAGGTCAATCAAGTCACTTTTCGTACTTCTTGCCCCACTGGCAAAGGGATAGTTGCTGCCCATCTGTTCATCTTGGTTCTGTGGAGGGGAACAGCCCTGTTTTCCTATTTAAGAAGAACTTCACCAACAAGCATCGAAGGTCAAGTAAACTGCAACAATACCTGCCAATTCCCTAGCCAATCGTTGCTGCCAGTGATTGATACAGTGTCATCTTCGCATAATCCAAGGGCTCCAGCGTCCAATTCAAAAGTGCAGATGGCCGTCTATGTCATGTCATCATTCATAAGATTTGTCTTCAGGTAAGAAAAACCTGTGTCGAATTGTTGCCAAACTCGACTTCTTCACAAACCTGGACGCGAAATGTTCACAACACCATTATACCTTGACGTTCATACCATGTGGGAAGAGTTCCCAAACAAATCTTTCACCAACAGTTTGCCCCCGTCCTATAAAACGATCACAATGCGTTGCTAATCTTCTTAGGTACAGACCTCAGGAGTTTTGAAACACCTCTCTTCTGTCTCAAGCCTGTTGGAGACATCAGACCAAGTTCTGAGGGAAAGTAATATTTTTCAACACAGCAGTCCTTACTTGGGCTTCTTTTCGATCATGTAATAGTAGGTGAAATTCTGTTCTTCCAATTTTGATTCGAGGAACCAAAGTGACTCCTGTTCATTTTGGTTCTTCTTTTCCATTGCGAAGGTCTACGGAGAGCATGTGTCAGGAACACATTCTCACCCTCCAACCAATGTATAGAATGAGGAAAGATACTACAACGCGTAACTTACCTGTCTAGCATTCGACTTCCCTATCTTGGCGCTCGAGATCGCTATCTTGAGGTACTCATCATCTTGCAACCCGAAAGCGACAGTGTTGAACTGACAAAAGCCAGGAGACGGCAAAGTCTCGTTCTCTCCATCACCACAGAGAGATACTGTTCTAGGGGCCATGTGATTGATAGTCTCTTTGATAACACAATCTGTTGCAATGTCTTCGATGCATCTTTCTTCCACGTCCTCTAGCTCGGGGGCCTTCTTAATCAAGTACTTATACTCTACGGTGAAGCCTTGCGGCAGTTCCAGTTCACAAAACCATACATTCGGAGCATCTTTCTTTCTCTTCAAGTACTTGGCATTTTTGACATTCCAATCGCCAAGTTGGTCGACATTGCCGGTTAAAGCAAGCATCTCGTCAGGGGCTAGTCCCTCAGCTTCGATTTCGAGCCTCCATTTTCGCTTCTCCGTTTCTTTTGAGCTAGTCCTCAATTGAAGATTTTGGATGGGCTGGATGTTTCCGTTCTTCTTGACTTTCAATGCTGGCATGTCACTGGCTATAGGCAGGTATCCATGGCAAAACAAGAATGCAACGGAGATCCAAATGAACCTGAACGTCATGTTGCAAGTGTGAACTTCCACAACCTCTATGTTCTCTGGAGCACGCCTGCTCCGATTCAAACGACGGCAGCGACAAGAGGGATAGCCCGGGTGTATGAACGAGCTTCCACAAGTGTAAGAGGATACCTCACTGCCTCAATTCGACCTCCGTAGCCCAGATAGCCGACATTAGGCCCTTTCACGGTACGAGAGGTCCTCTGAGCATGTCAGATGCTACCGCCCTTTCCTGGAGCAAGAAGGCGACAAAGGCATGCTTTCCTTCTTCTTTCATTGTCGATCTTCCTCGGCATCTTTCTTCTTCTACCACTCACTTTGTCTTCCGATCGATCTCGCAGAACACAAACGCTGCGCCCCCCCCGCTTCACCCATATCACACACCCTACCCCTCTTTCGTCATCCTACCCCCACCCCATCGAAGCATTCGAAAGTACCCCTACCTTGTAACATCTTGTACCCCTACCCCTCGAGAATCGCATCCTTGCAACAAATATGAGGGTATCGAGTAAACCCCTACCCCCTATTCCACAGATAAAACCAGGGGTGACCTGGAGATAGGCCGTAACCACCCACCCCCGTGACCCCCGTGTCTCCCCAATAGGACGCTGAGAACTACAAATTTGTAACCGAGCGTATCGTAAATTATCGTTTTGGTCGTACGTTGAATGGAAAATCATTCGAGAGCATATGAATTAGAATACTTATCGTATCTAATTTGACTGTAAATTATTTGGCAAAACAAGTCGCTACCATGTCGTACCCCCTACCCCCTACCCATTACTTCTACTCTTTACCACCCCCTTGCCACCCAGCATTGGTAACCAATCGTGTCCGCAAAGTTGTATGAAGAGGCTCTGAGGCGCACCCGTAGGGAATAGTTGCTGCCACTTCAGTGATCGCCGGCGTTCCCGATGTCGGCCGGCCCGGCAGCGGCCCGGTCGATAACTTGAGGGGTTGGCCCGCATTCAACGGCTGGAATGGCGAAGCAGCGCTGATGCAGCGAAGGATCAAGTAGTGCGACGTTGCTCGGGTGAGACAGGAAGAAGGGGAGAGGGGAGAGAGAAGAGAAGGACTTGCCTCCTTAGTGATGCTAGACGAGCTGAGAGCCAGGGCTCTGATAGAGCAATCGCGCTCGGAGGGCTCTCCAGCGTTGTTGAACGAGGCCTACCAGATCGTTAAGGATCTCAGCACTCCGTCAGCACTCAAGAACCCAAAGTTCTCCTTGGAAGTCGTTTCTCCCGAGCTCCACGTAATTATTGCAGAAACCTCGCTCGATCTCTCATCGCCTTCTCGCACAGAGGACCAGCTTGTGAGCAACCGGATTCAGCTGCAGGAGCTTGCATACAACTGCCTCCAGTCCTTCTTGAGTTCTAAACCTTCGTCGGATCAGTTTCTAGCAAGGGCATACTTGGCTTACGCGACTCTCGCCTGTCGCTGGGCAGATGGAAGGAAAGGTGACGGGCTTGTAGATGCTGTCCTCAAGGCACTGGATTTCGTGATGAGGGCTTTGAACCTGGCCCTTGAAAGTTTGCCGAGGTATCAATTTCTGGTCTACAATGCATCGGTAGTGTACTGGAGATGTAGCAGACCGCTTCAGCGCAAGGGATACTTCCATCACATCCTCAACTCCATGCCGCAGGTGTGCGATGCTCTCATGAAGCTAGACGGGGACGATGTAGAGTGGAAGGCAAAGTACATCATCGCCCTTGCCCGCGCCTATGAGTTCTCAGACAGAAGCGATGATGCTGGAAAGTACTTGCAGAATGCTGTTGGGATGATGTCGAGCTTGTCCGAAGAAACTCAGGTTGAGATCGTGCGGGTGTTGGTGCATGTGGACAGGACAAGGGGAGGAGGAGCCGGCGATAAGGTTGCGACTACCCCAAAACTTGGGCTCTATGCCAGGCTACAGAAAGTGAAGTCAGGAGTCATTTCCGATGAGAAAATACCCGACGAACTCGAGGATCTGATCAAGAGCTCGTCCGAGGCTGGTGAGCTCAAAGTTCTTGCAGAAGCTGGAAGGCTCTGTCTTCTGAAGGGTCAGCCAACTTGTGCTCAGAATGCGATCGAAGCCATTGGTGGGGGAAACGATGCCGGCATGGCTGTTGCAGTCCTTACTGAATGCACGAAAGCTCAACTGTCTGTGATGTCGCTTGGAGAGGAAGCAGAAATGTACACGCGCAAGATGGTAGACACCAGGCTTGATGCACTCTCCCGGTTGGAGAAAGCGTTGCCTTCAGCCGTACGATCCAAAGATGCTGACGTCATCCACGAGATTTGCTCTCTAGCCTGGAGCCTGTGCTTGCCGATACTGCAGCCAAACCTGCGCAAGCAAGCGAAACGAGTGCTGCAGGCTTGCTGTAAGGCTCTGGAGGACATCGACTCTCCTCTTAATGAGCTTCGTGCCCAGCTGCACCTGGAAGTCGCCAGATGTGACGTAGCAGACGATCTGTATGCGGCAGCAGCCGTCCAGGTAAAGAGGGAGGTAATCACTTTCATATCCCTAAAGGCTACTCTTGCAGGTACAGAAAGGCCTCGCCCTGGATTACGTCGTGCCTGAAGACAGCATCATTGAGTACAAGAGGCCGTTTGACAAGCACCTGAACCTGATGAAGAAGAAGCTGTCCATGAAGATGTCGCTCTATTCGGCTCCCGACCGCCCGGAGGACAAGGCCATGCTCCTGGTAGAGCAGGCAAGAGAGTCCAAGGAAGCAGCTCTGAGGGCTTCGCTCCTGGACCGAGCCGTCGGGATCCTCTCGGCGGTATGAGGTGGGAAGCACGATCCTTGACTTGACTTGCCATGTCAGGTGGACGAAGCAACAGATGTCGCTGCATCAGCCTGTCCTGTGCCAGAGCTCAACGAACCTCAGGACCCGATCTACTCGGCTCGCGGGATCCAAAAGGAGCGGACGATGCTGTGGGGCGACATCGCATTGATCGCGTGGCAGAGCCACCTGATCAAGCAGACACTCGAGGCAGCAGAGTTTGCATGCGAGTACGAGGGGGACGTGGTCAAGGACAAGGACCTCATCATCCAGCAGGCTCAGGTTCAGTTTGCGCGGGCGGAGGCGCTCTTCATGCAGTTGCGAAGTGAAGGATGCGAACCTGGGAAGCCTCTGCCGCAGGAGGAAGCAAACCAGAAGAATGTCTCTGCTAAAGTCGCGTGGGTTGAAGGGCTGAGAGAGAGGATTGTACAAGGTCTGTGAGAATTGCTTCCCTCCATCCTCCCTCTCCTCCATCCTCCCTGTCCGACCAAACCCGCCTGCTCCTTGTCTGACGCTCCAACAAGGTTTCTTGAAGGGCATGCGGCTGGGTTTGAAGGTGAAGGAGGACTGGATCGTATTCAACGCTGCCGTCTACCTCTGGAACTATCACCTTCCCCTCTTCTCCAGCGCCAAGCTAGAGTCTATCTATGAAGCGCTTGAGGAGGTTGTCGGCACTCTACACGTCGCCGGCTGCAAGGACAGTCAGCTGCTCTGCTCGGTCTCTTACGGTCTCGCGGTGGCACTTGAGGCGAGGGAGGCGAAGGTCTGAGAGAAGATCGTGAGCTGCTGCTGACGGAGATTGCAGGGAGAGGACGTGCTGTATCCCCCTGAAAGCCTGGGCGAGGAGGCTCCCAGCCTTGGGAACGGGACCTGCCTCGGGCACGCAGTCGCTGTCTGCGAGGCTGCGGTAGAGATCTCCTCCCCGATGACGGCCAGACGTGTGCTGGGCGTCCTCGCGAGGCTGCGCCTTGCCCTCAACAAGTCGTCGAGTGCTGTCGACGTCAGCGGCGCTCCAGAAGCCTCCCTGATTATGCTGCTCGAGCTCATGAAAGTGGACGCTGATTCCAAGCCTGCTCTCGTCGAGAAGGTCCGCCTACTCCTTCCCCTCCTCTTCCTCCTTCCCCTCCCTCTCCTCACCCCTCATCATACTTCGTGCTCTGGTCCCAGCTCCTTCCTCCATCTGTAAGCTTCTGATGCGCTGCATCTCCTCCAGCCTTACATGCTTCTCCTTCCATCCTCCCCCTGTGCTCTCATGACTTCGTGAGTCTGACGCTCCAATAGGCGATGGGCTTTGTTCCCGACTGCCCTGTCAACCCGCAGATCTTCGCGTCCATCGCCATGGAGGCGCTTTCCTGTGGCGACTTCATCTCATGCATGACTTTAAGCAAGCAAGCGACGTCCATCGCTGACCAGGCAACGCAAGCCAAGCCTCAGCTTCTGCGCTGGTTCGCCCTGGCGGAGCTCGTTCACGGCCAGGCGTTAGTGCGTCAGATCAACCCGGACAAGCATGACATGTCAGCACAAGACCACCTGAAGAAGGAGGCGATCAAGCACTTTGTCTTGGCTGCCAAGTTCTCTTCGGAGGCGCAGAACGACAACATCCTCATGCTCGCTGCTACGGAGATGTGGAACGCGTCAGTGAGCTTCATGTCCTCTTCGGCCACGCGCAAGTCGCTGCTCGAGCCCACCAAGGCCATGATCAAGTATCTCGCTCGTGTGCGGTTGGCTGAAGATTCTCCGGAGGAGGAAAAGACCTTCCGCACCAAATTGTACGTCCTCCTCTTCGAGTGTCTTGCAGACTCCAAACTTTGGCAAGAGGGCTGCGACCACACGGCCAAGGCGCTGAAAGCTCTTCCTCCTTCCATGCACAAGGACCTGTGGGAGTTCCGGATCACCTTCATGGGGAAGCTGGGCAAGGACACGGCGGCGGAGATGCTCAAGGTGAAGGAGAGCGGAGAGGAGATGGTGGCACAGGTTTGGTCGACCCTCGCACAGTCCTCGTCGGACAAGAAGCAGAAGCTTGTCTCCTACAAGAAAGCGGTCGAGGCCCTCGAGCAGAAGCCGCTAGCGCAGGTGGAGTACCTCATCCTCTTCGGCGAGTTCCTCTACACCGAAGGCTTCGAGGTCCAGGACGCGCAAGACCAGCTGATCGCCGCTGCTGACATCCTGCTGGAGCTGGACACAGCGCTGGCGGACGAGGAGGAGAACTTGTCCAAGGCGGATGATGCGTCCCAGAGCGACGCCAAGTCTGTCTCCTCCTCCTCCAGCTTCCACCGCTCCGTCGCAAGCCCCCGGGCCAAGACGCCCCGGCAGGTCAGCTCGCAGTCTGCCTCCTCGTCCAAGGCCAAGTCCGTCGCTCCCTCCAAGGAGGGGAGCGTGACCTCCTTCAGCACGTCGCTGGGGGCCGGGAAGAGGCCGCAAAGCCTCAACGTGTGTCACCTGCTGGAGCTAGGAAGGATCTATATCATGCTGGCGAAGATGAGCAACAACCGGCTCCAGGTGGCCCAGCAGCTGGTCGTCGCTCACCACTACCTCCTCAGAATCTTGGAGATGTCTGTCACAGCGGTCATAGCAGAGATCTCCTCCTCATCGGAGGAGGAGCCCGCAGATGCTAAGATCTTCGAGCTCCCCACGGAGGCGCAGGAGTGGATAGGGTTCGAGCTGAAGGAGCAGCTCTGCGAAGCCTTCATGGCGTACAAGGGGAAGGACAAGAAGGTGCTGAACAAGAGGACGTTCAGAAAGCCTTATCTCCTCCTCTACTACCTCGACGAGTTTGTCGGCCTCCTTCTGGAGCACGACCTGCAGCTGCAAGCGATTCCTGTGCTGGAGATGCTCAAGTTCGTCTCACGCAGGATCCTGCAGAACTCTGACCTTCATGCCCTCTTCCTCCTCCGCCAAGCCATGCTCTACCAGCAGCTGGGCAGCAGCCAGCACAGCTCGCGTGTCCGCAAGCTTGCAGACGAGCTGCTTGTGATCAGCCCCGAGAGGTCGCGTAAGCTGGACGAGCTGGTGAAGCAGCGCGAGATGCACAAGCTGGTCGGTCGGTCGCAGTCCATGGCAGAAGCGATGGAGGCAGCGAAGAAGGAGAAGTACGTGAAGCAGCTCAAGCCGCTTCAGCTCCACGAGGTCTGGGTCAAGCTGGCAGAGGTCAAGATCGAGGAGGGAGACCTCGTACGTGCTCGGGAGATTCTCCATCGGACGCTCAAGCACGCCAAGGCGTTCGAAGACTCAGAGAGCGAGGGTCTGACCCTCCACCTCCTCGCCATCGTCTCCTTCCTCGAGGGTCAGAACGTGCAGGCCGTACAGCTGGAGACGGAGGCGCAGGCTTTCTCAAACGAGTTGTCCTTCTGGAGCAAGAGCTGCGCGGCTCTCGCCACCTTCATGGTTGACGTCGCAAGGACTGTGTTTGGCCTGCACAGCGTGGAGGAAGCGATCAAGGTGCTGGAACGAGGAGCCGACTTGTTCCGCCTGCTCATCCTGGAGCACCCGAACCTCATCATGCGGATCAACACGCTTCGAGGAAACCTCCTGCTCGAGGCAGCTCAGATCGCGTTGGAGGAGGTCAGGAGGCAGGATCAGGCGGGTCAGATGATGTGGCAGAAAGTCCACAAGAAGGCAGTCAAGCTCGTCGACATCGTGATTGAAGCATTGTCCGCAGCAGCTGGTGGTGGAGGAGCAGGAGCAGAAGCAGGAGCAGGAGCAGGAGCAGGAGCAGGAGCAGGAGCAGGAGCAGGAGCAGGAGCAAGAGCAGGAGGTGGTGGTGGAGCACTTTTCGTTGACGCCCTCCTCCTCAAGTCGAGGCTGCAGAGCGAGCCGTTGAGTTCAGACTCTGCGAAGCGCCAGGCGCAGCTCAACGAGTCTTTGCGTACGGTTGTCGCGGCAGGCAAGGAAGCTGAGCACATCTGCGTGCTCGCTCGACCCGCCACGAAGCGCAAGGACGTGCACCTTTCGTGCGACCTGAGGTACGCGCGGGCGAAGTTGCAGGAGGCAAGGCTCCTTGCCCTGCTGGCCGTGGAGGAGAGGCTACATCCCTGGGCCCTCAAGGCCCGTCCTCAGATCCCTTCCTTCCCACTCGTGGAAGGCAGAGACTCTGACGTGGTCCAGCAGTTCCTTGACCCCCTCAACGACCCCAACAGGGAGGAGGAGAAGCTTGAGACCTCCCGCGAGGAGAGGGCCGTCCTCTCCGCCACTGCCGCCATGCAGGCCACACCCGACAAGCTGCTCTCCTCCTCCGCTCGATCTGTGATCGGACACGCCCTCAAGCTCATCGTGGAGGGCGAGGGATCAATCGTCATGCTGTGGAAGCGGGAGGAGGAGGACAGTCTTCCAGCAGCGGGAGAGCAGGCTACCGAGGAGACATCGGCAGGAAAGGAGGAGGAGGCGGGTGAAGAGGACGACGTCAGCAAGGAGCTCAAACCTGTCCTTCCTGACGCTCCTTTCCTGACTGCGCGAGAGGCTCTGCAGGCAGCAATCACGGAGGGTCTGGAGCAAGGGAACCTGGATGTAGTGGAAGCAGCTTCCTTCGACCTGGCGGTGTGTACGGGAGGAGCGAACTATCAGCGGACAGCAGAGCTGCTCTGCCTGCATCAGGCATGCAAGGCTAGGAAGGCGATGATGGCGACCCTGCGATCGATCCTGCCCAACGAGAGCATGGAGAAGGTTTGCATCAGGAAAATCGATTTCCTGGGTGAGAGGGGAGGAGACAAGAGCAAGAGCGAGCAAGCAGCTCTGTCCGCCTCCTTCCTCCTGAAAATTTCTCCTGCCGCAAGAGTCCTCGAGATTGTCCCAGAGCTCGCAACCTTGCGATCCCCCTTCTCCTCGAAGACTGTCTTTCTGAGCGCTGTCCTTGGAATGGGACATGAAAGGAATCACTTGTACGTCTCTTTCTTCACAGGCAGAGCAGGTGACGCGACCACTCCTCCTCCTCCTCCTCCTCCTCCTCCTCCTCCTCCTCCTCCTCCTCCTCCTCTTCCTCTTCCTCCTCCTCCTCCTCCTCCTCCCTCAGCCACTTTTCATCCCGCCTTCTCTCCCTCCTCTTCTCCATTCTCTCTCTAGCTCCCCTGCTCCCGTTGATTTCCCCATCGCGCAGACGCGGATTCCAAAGACCCCATCCTGGTCTCACAGGTTGATTTCGACTTGGACTTGTTCCAGTCCATAAGGTCCGTCCGGCTTCCTCCTTTCCTCCTGCTGACCCCCATCGAACTCAGGAAGAAGCACATGGACCTTGAGGAGCAGCAGAAGCTCAAACACCTCGACGTCTCCTACCCACATGACGCGATGCACTCCCACGCCCTCCTCCTCGACCTCCTCGACCTGGTCTCCACTCTTATGCAGGATGTCCTCCAGGTCTTGCTCTCCTACCCCCCTCCTTCATGCTTCCTCTTGGCTCACTTGTCTCTTTCTCAGCTCTTCAACCAGTACACCCGGCAGCTGGAATTTGACGAGGTAGTACTCCTGCTGGACAAGGAGCTGGACTTCCTCCCGATAGAGGTCTGCTGGCCTCTTGCCCGGCCACAGCTGAAGCTTCTCTCCACCAGGCATGCTCTCCCCTCAACCAGCGCAAGTGCTCGAGGGACTTCTCTCTCTCCATCCATCACAATCGCACCAAGACTTGCCCCGACGGAGGGAGAGGCTCCGTCCAGAAGTCGAGCCTGTGCTACCTCTGTGATCCCAGGAACGAGGACAACAACGTGAGACAACACCAGCTACTGCCCTGCTACTGCCCCCGCTCACCTTCCTCAACTATCCTTTTTCCCTCCTCTCGCTCATCCGCGTGTGGGTCATTCTCCTCACGCGCTCTTATCTCAGACTGCCAACGGGATTGTCGAGCGACCGGAGGATTTCTCAACGATCTGTGAAGCTTTCGAGTCAGACATCAGACCTCTTGGTATGTCCTGCCCTCCTCCTTTCCTGCCCTCCTCCCTCCTCCCTCCTCTTCCATACCTCAACCCCAACAAACACATGCACGGCTTCCTTCCTCCTTCGTTATCCTTCCCCTTGTTGTCTCCTCGCCTCTACACTGTCTCTCTGTCGTTCTCCTGCCCTTCCTCCTAACCCTCTCCTCTAGGATCGTGGACGGGAGTTTCTGGCACCGAGCGCATCCCCTCCAAAGGAGAGTGTCAGAGGATCTTGACGCAAGCATCTCTCTTCCTCTTCCACAACGTCTCCCCGTTCTTCGGCTTCCTCGACGCAGGTCCTCCACTTGTGCTCCCTCCTCCCTCCTCTCTTGAGCGTGCACAGGATCTGTCGCCGTCCTCAACCTCGAGCCCTGTCACCTTGCTCTGCTCTTTGATCGAGCAGGTGCTTCTTGTGACTTCCTCGCTAAAGACACTCACCCTCCTCGCAGAAAACGAAACTTCCGACCGACTGCAAAAGCGCAGGGATACCGAGCTCTTGCCGCACAGCATAGCTATTAGGGAGACCTGGCAGACAGCAGGTCAACCTACTTTCCTGCTCCTGCTCCTGCTCCTGCTCCTGCTCCTGCTCCTGCTCCTGCTCCTGCTCCTGCTCCTCTTCTCGGATCTCCCCTCCTCCTCCTCTCTCGCTCTACCGTCGGCTGATGTATCTTCTGTTCAGCTCTGATGACGATGCGAGGCGTGAGTCACGTCGTCCTCAACACGTGGAGCATGGATCCAGCAGCGAGCCATCGCATCCTGACGCAACTGGTTGACTCTGTTCTCAAGGGAACCGATGTGAGCAGCGCAGTGCACGAGAACAGCGTCGCTGTCTACACACAGTTCCGCCAGCTCGTCAAGGATATCGAGGAAGCGAAGCGGCGCGTGGAGGAGATGACAGCTAAGTTGCAGCTGCAGTCTTCACAGGAGGGAGCGGCGAATGAGGAGGGAGAGGGAGGAGGGGAGGAGGGAGCGGCGAAGGAAGGAGAAGCAGGAGAGCAGCAGGGAGAATCAGAAGAGGAACCAGTCACTGAGGAACACGTTGAACAAGCCCAGCAGGAACTGGAGGGGAAAAAAGCAGAGCTGGAAGAATTCATGCAGGCAAACAAGGGAATGGAGATCGCGCTAAACGTCAGAGGGTACGGGCTGACCGGCGTCTCCTCTTAGTGTCGACAACTTGAAGCTTCCTCTCAGTGTGTAAATATGAGCGACTCTGAAATAGTGATCCTCAAGGCTGAGTTCGAGTCCCTAAGGCTCCTCTAGTGCAGCAGAGGTCAACTGATGTCTGCGTTACTTTGGCATACTACAAGTCTAACAAAGGTCACGGCGAGTGACTCAGTCACGGGCATAGTAGTCGTAGGCTACGACTCGGAACTCGGAACTGAGAGAGTACCGAGCACTCAAGTGATCGGACCGCCCGGGGCCCGGGACCGGACCCCGGGCCCCGGGCCCCCGGCCTCTAAAAAAAATTGGGGTTGTAGAGGGTGGGGTGGTGACCTGACTCTCTCACAACCCCTAGCACTTACCTCATTCACGTGCGTATGACTCATGGGGTGGGGGTAGGTTGAAGTGTTGTATGATACCGGTGGTTGTATCAGGGAAAAGAGGGGTGGTGCATGCCCGCTGCTGCTGTGCTGAGCACTTTTCGCTGCTCCGTTCTTGTTCTCTAGCGCACTACCATCTCATCCCTTCTTGCCCCCTCACATGCTGCTGCCTCTGAGTCTCTTCCTGCACTTTCTTGGCCCCCCTCCTCCAAGACACCTGCCTTGCCCTCGGCTCATGGAGCCTGAACCCTGCCGGCCTCGGCCTCGTTTGCCCATGTCTGCTTTGAGCGGAACGATGATCTGCTTTCTTTGTCTGAGCTCGTTTCTGATTGCTGTTTCTGATAATCTCTTCCAGGGCTCAGTTACTCACGGAGGAAAAGAATGGGAAGATATTCCAACGATGGATTCTTAACTGCGTTAGACAAACAATTTAATCGTGTGAGGACGCAAGGATCTTTGTTCATAACTCTCAAGAGATGTGAGATAACGTTCTGGTATCTTTTCGGCCTCATTCTTAAAACAGACGTGCCGAAAGCTTTCAAATCAGGGAGAGAAAATCCCGAGGGCTCTGAACCGTGAGTCTTCAGAAACGACTTGTTCCATTCACTAACGAGAGACGTGCAGACTTTGCCTCATCCGAGCAAAGTTAGGGAACAACTCCATCTCCACGGTCGTTCCACAGAAGGTGTGTTGGATGTCTTGTTTGATTGGTCATACGCCTTTTCCCTCTTGCAAAAACGCACACGTCCTTTCCCCATCTGGCCATTTCCGTGCCATCTTGGGTAGAAGTTGTCGCGAAGAGAATACAGGAGGAGGCATGCATCGTTCCCAGTCCGGAGTGGGACTCAGCCTCTGACTGTGATATTCCTAGATCTCTGTGTTTCTGTATGGTTATGTTGGTGTTCCCTTGTGTTGGAGATGGAGATGTACGGGACTCACTTGTTTCGGTCCTGACAGGATGTAGCGAAATTTCAATCAGCATTCAGCACTATCTTGAAGGGGAATATGGATGGTCTCAAGAAACCAGAAAAGAAGAAAGTCAAGGAAGTGAAGAACAAGTAGATGTGGATGGAGTTGGGTGGATGGATCAGAGCAGAGTTTGGGGGGGCAGGAAGTTTTCGAAATTTGTTTCAGTAAATCAAGCTAGTTGTTATTCTTTCGTCATATCTGAGATTCTAACGGATGCAAGTCACACAGCCCGAATGGTCCACAATGAAACCGCCGCTCGACCTTGTGCTCGTGCACAGTGTAAGGGACGATGCCTTCGACTGGCTCAGCTACGACATTCGATTTGCTTCCCAAGACATACCTGCGTAACCCGCGGCTATGTAGCCGAAGGTGCTCTGCCGAGTAAGAATCAACTTGTGACATCTGCAGTCATCTGAGGGTCACGTGCAGACGCTTGCTCTTCTCTGTTTACCTCGTCAGTGCCCACCAGTCTGCTGTCATCTGCATCTGAGCTTGAGCGCCAGTTTCTCTGTGCCATCGCGTCAATGCTGAACAACGTCTTTCCGGTCCAACCTTGCGCTGTGGATCATACTGGTCTTGTAACTCAGCACCTTGTCTCCGATCTCTGCGTTGGACCTCTAGAGGAGTGAGGATCGCGCATCCTCGCTGCAGCGTTCGGCACACCTGAAAGCGTCGAGCACTCCTGCACTGTCAGTAGCCACGAAGAGCCTGGAGGCATTGGGGGAGCTCTTGAGGGCTGATATGGCGGTCAGTAGAAGCATGGCCTGTGGAAATGAGATCAGCACAGGAGCAGCAATACACGAGGACGGTCATACCTGACCTCGCCGCCTCAGCGGGATGGCGCTAGAGGGACCGATCTGCGAGTCCCCGCCCGCACTCTGAGACTTGGTCATAGTGACCCGGACATGCACTCCGACCTGCCAGCTGGGTCAGGAGCCAACGGAAGGGCCAGGCCCGAGCACCCTGTGTCCTTGGCCCTGGATCCTCGAATCCACGAGCTCCTCAACTAACTTGTTCGGGCGAATGACCTGCAGTAGAAACGTTTGAACGTGCGCTTTCGCTTCCTGGATCTGCTGCACCTGCTTCAGACAGTCTCCTAGAGCGATAGCCAATTCAGGATGAAGCAGATTGAAAGCCTTGGAGTCGAGAAGGCTGCTGTCGTCGTAGATCATGCGGATTACCGGGCCCACGTGGTACTCGACCATCATCTGGCGTGCGGGAGTCAGCATGACGCCGATCCCTCGTGAGTTATCTCACTTTTCCATGCAAGACTTCAGAGAGAGGGCTGGACGTGCTCAGAGTGTCAAGGTCAAGTAATACATAACTGTGTCCATATTTAAGAATGGTTTGCTTCACTGACGCCACAACAGAGTTCGAATCTCACCTGCTGCTCTTTGCCGCTTGCAAATGTTCCTTAACAAGGGTCGACGACGGCCAGACCTGAAGATCAGAATCCACGATATCCCAGAGGGGAACTGGTTCTGTCCAATTGACGATCAACACCCGATGCGTCAGAATCTACAGGAGGCAGTCAGAGAACCGCCCGCCTCCTGCTGAATCAACACCGAGATCATATATGCGGATGCCAAATCAATCAGTCGGTTGCCCCAACCACAATCACGGGGCGTGTAGACGTAGAGAGGAACAGATCCTGGCTTCGAGCACAGGGCGGCTCCATGAAATTCTTTGTAAGCTTCAACAAGATCTTCCCACACATACACCCCTTCCAGGTTCATGGATATGGCCTCGCTCCTCACATTCGGGCAGTATGATGATGTGGAGTTGCTGGGCAAGGTCGTGAAAGTCCTGCTGAGATATCTCCCCTCGTACAGCGCTTCTGAATCTGTCTCCACCCCCTCCCACACCTGTCTGTCTACCTTGAAAGGAGCATAGCAGTCCGCAGCGTCGGAATCTTGCTCGTAATGCTTCTTTGCCGGTGAGCGACCTCGGACAAGATTCCCTTGGGCATCGAAGAGGCTGATACTGAGGACGTAGGTACCCACTGACAGCCCTCCCACCGACATCTTGATCCTGCTCTGAACAGCTGTCAGCACTGGGATGTGTTCCGTGTCAGTCACCTGCGTGCCGCGGTGAAACTCTATTTCGTTGAGGCTCAGAACGACGAATCCGTGCTCAGCTCCCATGGGAAAGTTCAAGATCTGAACCAAGATCTCTACAACGGCTCCTTGTTCCTGGCTGTCGTAGCGATATACTTGATTGACGGAGGGTTTGACGATCCGCACGAGAGGATTCCCCATCGGTCGAGGTGCTTGAGATGTGTGACTCGAGCTCGTGTCCGGACAAGTGACGTTGAAGACGGTTTTTGCATGCTCGTTCATTCTCGACAGTTGAAGATCTGACACAGTCTCTTCCTGGTCGGGATACCCTACCAGGCGAACAGAAGTCTCGTGGCTCCCGCAAGGCAGCTCTTCCAGAACCAAGTTCACGATGGACTCATCAAAGGCCTGCCCTGATTGGAGGACGACACCATCGAGCTCCACAACATAGCCGAACAAGCCCGAGTCGCCTCCTTCGAAGCCGAAACTCAGCATCACCGACTCTCCGACATGGTAGCTCTCCCCGTCGCTAGGAGAGATGATCATGACCCCACGGTCCCGCTCAATGTGGACAGAAGGAGGTACATCAGACATCGGGGAGGATGAAGACGAGTACGAGGACGAGGAGCGAGCAAGCAGGAGCAGCAACAGCAGCATGCCGCTTGGGTTCGATAAACCTGCCATTGCTGCCCGACCCAGTAAAGGTCCCAGACAACCCCACCCACTGGGTTTCTAGAGTATTCTCCTTGTGCACCCATCGTTTACGCTGTCTTATAGGGGTACTCGAATGACTATTGTACCCCACCCCTCAAATCGGACATGTTTGTTGCCGGGGTCCGCCTATTGAGACATAGCGCCCTCATGTGTCAGATGCGGCTGCAGGGACAAGGAGCGGAGGAGCGGAGGAGAGGAGAGACGAGGAGGCGAGAGTAGAGAAGGAGAAGGAGGAGGAGGAGGAGAAGAAGAAGAAGAAGAAGAAGATTGCAGAAGCGCAACCAGGAGCGTAGAGAAACAAGAGGCTGAACAGTGAATCAACAATACGAAAAAGAGCAGCAAAGGCCAATACTTACACTCGATTGGACACAAGCAAATGCAGTGGAGAGGGCTCGAGCAAGGTCATTGAATCGTCAATCATGTCTCTGCTGGTCAAGTTTGGTCGGACAAGGGCCCTGACTCCGATGGGGAAGTTTGTAGACAAGGTAAACTTGGCGAGCAACGCCTCAAGGAGACATGTCACGACTGTCAAAGATAATGCAAGGGCTGGCACACGCTGGCATGTCGAAAGCTTCATCACAAAGAAGCTGGAGAGTGGGCAGTACAAACTTGCATTGTCCATGTTTGATAAGCATCCTGAGGTTCACAGAAGCCTCTCACGCAAGACCTACAACATGCTCGTTCGTGCCAGCAACCAACTTAGGCAAGGGGAGAGGTCAAAGATGATTTTGAATGCCATGCGAGGGGTCGCAAGACATGCACCTGATGAGTTTACATGTACCCAACACTTGAAAGCCCTGGCTCTCTTGAGACGACCGGATCAAGCATATTCATACTTGACTAGAATGAAATCGGATGGGATCATGCCCAACGTTTGGGCGTACACAACATGCATTGACGCATATTGCAAGGTGGGCGACATGGAAATGGCTGAAAACATCAAGTCGATGATGATTTCAAGTGGCATAGAGCCCACGTTGGCGACATTCACTACTTTGATGAAAGGATACGCCAAGTATGGGAACCACGAGGCTCTGGAACATTATCTTGAGATAATGCAGCAAGAGAACATTATGATTGACTCGTACATAGTCTCGATTCTGATTGATTCTTTCGTGAACAAGGGAGACATGGAACGAGCTGAGGTGGTGCCGTGAGTTGCTCCCGACCTCTCTTCTGACATGCTCATGCAGGCAATCCTGCGAGAAAAGGAGGCCGAAGACCCTAGCCTCCTCAGCTCCCACCTGTATGCTTCGTTGATCAAGGGCTATGGTCGGAAGGGTATGATTGATAGATGCATGGCACTGATGGAAGAGATGAAGAGCAAGCAGTTGAAGGTTTCAGCAGTTCCTTACAACACGCTGATATCTGCCTTGCTTGAAAGCAAACGAATGGATCAAGCTCAGAAGACCTTGGAGCAGATGGAGGAGGCTGGCATCCAACCGAGCGTCGTCACCTACACACTGCTCATCCACGAATTCTCATCTGCTGGAAATGTTGCGCAGGCACAGGCTGCTTTCGAGACTATGGAGAGGAGTGGGATCTTCCCAGACACGGGAGCTTACAATGCACTTCTTGACGGTTATGCTTCTTTGGGACAAACTGCCAGAATGAAAGAGATTTTCTGGAAGCTGATGCAGAGTGCCAATAAGCCAAGCATTGAGACCTACAGTATCATGATCAAATGCTTACTGCATTCGGACGCAAGTGATGACGCGAAGAAAAGCGAAAATCTGAGAGAGTGTATGTCCTTCCTTGACCAGATAAGAGAGGAGAACCTAAAGCCAAGCGCTTCTTTTTTCAACTCTCTGATATCTGCTTGCACCCTTTTTGGGAAGCCCCAGGACACATTCCGAATGTACGAGATGATGCAGCTTGAAGATGTGGCACCGGACATGATCACATTCAACGCTCTTATGGACTGTTGTCTGAAGCATGAGCTTCTCTCACACGCCCGCAAGGTTCGGTTCGACTGACTCAGCATAATCTCTGATAGTGACCACTAAACTTGCATGGCAGGTATGGGATGACGTGCGCAATGCAGATCTCCTTCCCAACGTAAAACTCGTTCGATCCTACACCAAACTTCTCGTGTCCTGCAGACAGCTCACACAGGCGGTGGAGCTTCTCAGCAAATGTCGAGCGATGAGGCTGGAGGAGGATGAGGAGAACTACCTGACGGTGGTTGAGGGCCTGTCAGCGCAGCGCCGTCCTCTTGCAGCCCTCGAGATCCTTTTGTCCCTGAAGGATACAAGGTTAAAGAAACCTTCGCCCGCCATGCTCAAGGCAGTTGTCTACGGCTGTGTGGCAGCAAGCAGCTGCTATCCCGAGGGGGAGATGGAGTGGACGAACTTTGTGAATACAGCATGGGAGACGTACAAGCTGGGCATGGACAATGTGAGGGCAAGGGAGGAAAAGCTCGTTGTGCCGATGTTGCTGATGTTGGTGTCACAGGCTATTCAAATCCACGAGGATGCGATTTTCCCTCTCCTGCACCTGCTGATGCGACAGCTGGAGTTGCTCTCGATCGGCTCTGCATCGCGAAAGAGTGAGGGAAGCAAAAACCTGCCGACCTGGTTGCTGATGTTGATGTAGACATTGTCAATGTTTACGGCCAAGTCATGGGTCGAGCTACGTTGCTGATCAGGGACATACAGAAGAGGTGAGCTCGTGATGTTTCAACATAACTCTGACTCGAAGAGCCAGGGGTGTCGGGCTCTCACCGCAGACTTACTTGTATGCCGCTCAGCTCTCAACCATGGTGAACAGCCCGTCGACATCGCTCCTCTCCCTTATGGCCCTCAGTCAAGGTGAGGGTCCAGCAAGTACGGCGATGATGGCAGACCCCAGAAAGCTGCAACAAGCGCGGAGGGAGGAGAAGATTAACCAGTTCGTGTCGATGCTCGCCGACTTCCGTGATCGGAGGGACGTGGAGGGCTCGGTGCAGGTGTTGAAGATGATGAGAGACGAGGGGATCAGGCCGAATGAAAGGATCTACGCGGCTTTGGTGAATCAAGGAGGGGAGGGAGGGAGGGAGGGAGGGAACCTGTCATAGCGGAACGCCGTTTCGAGTTCGGTAATTTCCGGAATCGGATCCGAATATTTTTCCAGTGGGCTTTGACCTGACCCATGCGTAAGAAGAGCAGGAGTTTGATCCAGACGGCTCACCCAATCGTTAGAGTTAGATATAAAAAATGAATTCCAGTCAAATTTCTGTCTGAGAACCGCAATGGTGCCCCAGGGTGAGAGGATATCGTGGGATATGCTCCTCCTTTATCTTGTCCTTCACCTCTCCTTGACTAGGATACCTGTTCACAGTCTCTTCT